AGACTCGTGCTTTGAACTCCTATAACTTCGATAATTTTGTAAGTGTGCGCATGCGACGACGCATACGCATGGACGCGCTCAACGAATAGAACAAAGTCTGTTATTTCCGTTCCTTTTAAGTAACATATTAAAAAACCGAAATTTGAGAAGTTCGAAACTAACTATTGTAGTTATCAATACAAATACGAAAAATTACAAATAGAATATGAGTTGTTTATTGAGTTTTGAAAACTAATTTACTTTTAAGCTGGAAAGAACACCGGAAGGGTTGTCATGGAGAAATCAAGAAAGTACCGTAACGACATCCACTTTGATTTCCGCAACTTATGTTTGTTTTTAAATACTTCCTCATAAAGAGAGCACTTCCTGCATAACCATCGTCTCTGTCATCACGCAGCCGTAGATATACAGGAATATTGAAAGAAATATCTCTAGAAAGTTAGAAATGGCAAAATTAAGAGGAGAGTATAGAGTTTGGCAAGCGAAACGTGACACCACCTATTTTTCCGTTTTCATATGGCAACAACATAGAACTGTCAGTTTGACACTACGTTAGACAATTCAAGAATATTGAATTTTGTTGTTTTTGCGAATTTGAACTTGTGTTTTTGGTTAAAAATTATGTCGAAGCCGATAAAAAGTTCATCGAGGAAACTTCTTTCCATCATGATTGACAAGTTTACTGAAGTGAAAACTGAATTAAATAAAAATTTCATGGAGAAATTACAACGATTAGATAAAGTTGTATCTTTTTTAGGTTAGTTTTGTATTATAATTTTGATACTTTCGTTTTAATTTTCTGTAATTAACTAAACAGATATTTTTTATAAAATATTGCTCTATTTCAGATAACTGTGATGGTGATATTCAACCAATAATGGAGGAGATAAATGCAATAAAAACTTTAGAAAAACAAGAAATGCTGAATTCGGAAACGCAGTACTTACAAAAAATTTCTTCAATGACAGGTCTCTTTTCTTGTTTTGATTTAAGATAGATTGATAGTATTCCTATAATATTTACATAGGTTTTTTATGATGTATTGGTTTTTATTGTTGACATCCAATGATGTCATAAGAATGTTTTGTTTAACAAGGAAATTCACAGAATTCATGAAACTAATCAAACCATGTAATTGTTATACATGCTAAATATGCACATAAACTTAACTAAATTAAACATAAATTGCATTCATAGTTGAATAGGTATTTAAATTATTTTGATGTATGTGTCTATCATTATTTGCTTTTAAATACATTTAACATATCTTTGTTTCAAAGTGTTTAATCTTTTATAGATGTAAGTATAAGGACACTAAGAAGGATAAAAAATGAAGCATTAATTAATAAAGGAAAATGGGACACTCCTGGGAAAAAACGACCTCATCAACCAACAGTGTCTGCTTTAGATAATTTTGATTTAAGTGCAATTCGGAATAAAGTAAATGAATTTTACTGTGTGAAAAAAATTGTTCCAACATTAAGAAGCCTTCACAATGAATTAAAAGATGCAATAGGATTCAGTGGTAGCTGTGAGACTTTACGAAAAATTATGCTTAAGAATGGATTTTCTTTTAAAAGCAATGAAAATGAACGTTCTATGCTTATAGAAAAATACCAGATTTCTGCATGGAGGCACAAGTATTTGAGAGAAATAAATATAAAACGAAACGAAGGAAAGCAAATTGTGTACCTTGATGAAACTTATGTACATCAGAATTATAAAGTTAAAAAGTCTTGGCAAGGACCTTCAACAACTGGTGTCACTACAAAGATATCCTCTGGAAAACGGCATATTGTTGTGCATGCTGGATCTGAGGAAGGTTTTGTGCCTGGTGCATTATTAGTGTTCAGTAGTAAATCCAAATCTGCTGATTATCATGATGATATGAACTCATCGAACTTTATGAAATGGGTCAGAGAAAAATTAATACCAAATTTAAGTAAGCCCAGTGTAATTGTTATGGATAATGCCAGCTACCATATAAAACAAATCAATAAACCGCCTATAATGTCTAATACCAAAGCAGATATCCGTAAATGGCTTGTAAATAATGGAATACATTTTGAGGAATATCAGACAAAGGCAGAGTTAATGTGTTTGGTTAATGATAAGAAAACATTGCCTGTATATGAAGCTGAAGAGATTTTAAAAGAACATAATCATGAACTTTTATTGCTGCCACCGTATCATTGTGACTTAAACCCAATAGAGATGGTTTGGAGTCAAGCAAAAAGAAAAATTGCAAGCAGAAACATTGGAATACCAGGAAAGGAAATGGAAAACTTAATAATAGAGTGTTTTAACTTAATTACCCCTAGTGACTGGAAGAAATACACTGATCATGTTTTAAATGTCGAAAATGATTACAAATTAAAAGATGGCATTGTTGAAAACGAACTTGAAAAATTTATTATATCTGTTGGTGCAGACAGTAGTGAAGAGAGTGACTCTGATGATTCCTTGTCATTGTTATCAGGTGTAGAATATTTAGAAACAGATTTTGACTATGAATCAGACTAAAGTATTTTTAGTCTGATTCATAGTCAAAATCTTATCTTAAATTTTCTATTGTGATTAACATGATGATTTTGTGACACCTGTATTATGTAATTTATCCATGGCACTTAATTGTAACAAAAATAAATGTTTTTTTTATTGTAATCTGGTGTTTATATTGACTAATTTAATTTGATAGATAGTGGTTCTGGATCAGAGCAAAAGGTTGTGATGAAAATCCCTTAGGAGACATGTATGTGTTATGAACACATTATAAATATAAGGGCCAGAAATCAAAATTGGCTAACATCACATTTATTAAAAAAATGTGGCCAGAGTCGCCCATATTCATTACAAAAAAACAAAGAAGTCGTTGCAAAAAACACCCTTTTAATTAATGACAAATATGAATTTTTAATATTATAAGTGCTGTTAGCCAATAGGTATAACGAATGGGTTAAAAAAAAGATTCGATTTAGTCCGTCAGTCAGATAATAGAAAAATATTGGATACGTATTTTTTTTCGCTTTAATTTAACAACAAATGGCTTAAGAGGTACTATGCGACGACTTCAAATATGCTTTGCAACAATGTTACTTTAATACAGTTTATCGATACGAAATCAAGTGTCAAAATGGAGTCCAGTGGAGAATGCCGATATTGACATTTCGAAATTGCTCATCATTGATAGAGAATACGAAATAGTGATTTTGACACAATCAAAGTGTCTATTTTTTACGGTGATGACGATTCTTGGTTGTCAGTTGAGTTAGTGAATAGGCCTACTGATATGCTGTTAACTGTACAATTAAGAACAGTCACGCTTTAGTCAAATGTTCCAAAACAAATAATTTTAATTGATATCTAAATGTTAAGATTAAATATAATTAATAAAAGTATCAAAATTATTTTGCAGTACTACATTCAGTGTTTACTGCTTAAGAATTTTTGAAATTGCCGCCCTTTTCTTGTGACACGTTTCGCTTGCCAGACTCTATATAAAATATTGAATTTAATACTTTTTAGAACAAAGACTATTGTTGTTCCACTGAATTATATTCAAAGGAGCCAGTTTTGGTTAATAAATTTAAAAGAGGTAAAATTTTAGGAGCTTTATTGGGTGGTAATGATACGTTACTGAATTTTGACAAAATATTAGCAACCAGCAACCATAGAAGATCAAGACAATCATTATCCGGAACTATTATTAGTACTCGAACTACCAAGGGCACGACCATTAGGAAGAGTAGGAAGACAATTCCTATTTATGTCCTGTTGAGCCAGCTTGTCGTATTTCTTCCCCAGGGCATAATGTTGACGAGGAGAGGGGTCTTTTTATAAGACCGAGAAGTCTGAGATGAGGGTTGAGATTGCACAGTTTGAGGAATAGTAGACGAAGGTGTAGTTGAGGAATTTACTGACTCAGAGTACAGCCTTTTTACATTGGGATATACAAAGCAGTAGCTTCTTGGAAAGAAATATTATCTTGAGTAATTCTAATTTTGATCGATTTTTGATGACCATTGCATAATTGAGTGTTAATATCTGATAAAGGGAATAGAGGTATAAAAAAAAACTCTTTCTAGGAGATTTTGTCCCTTTAATGTCAAAAACAATCGATCGGGTGGGAACCCAAGATGCTCGACCGTCTAAAAGTCGTTTTCTATCGAGGCGTCTGGCTTTTACAACCATCCCATAGAAATCGGGAATTATTAGAGTCGATCAGCATTAGAGAGTCGATCAGCTCGTCCATGCATAGTTCCTTAGGAATGCCTCTAATTAAATCCACATTAAAGGTAGGAATTACTATAGTAGGTAAAGAAAGGAATTACTATAGTAATTGTAACGTGCTAATAAAGGTTAATAGCATCCTTACCAGTTTTAAAATTCTACAGTAATACGGTTAAATACGTTATATGTGGGAGTATTGGCAATTTTGTTTTTCTTTAAGAATTGCCCGAAAATAATTGGTCGGTAGTTCCAGATGAAAAAGAGTGAGTCAAATCCATCAATCAAACTCGGTCCATTGTTTATACAGACAACAAATGTTAATAAATAAATAAATATAAATATTAAACAACATCACATACATAGCTCAGATCCCAAGATAATTAGTTAAAGCTCCCGTATTAGCCGTATGTATACAATTTGCGTTGTATTATCCCGTATATATACAACGCAAACAGGTAATAATATACAGCAAAAGAATAGCGAGATAACACAACAAAGAGCAAGCAAAATGTCTAAAATAATCAAAACACAAAAAGACGTGTATCAACCAACACACCGTGTCTACGAAAAACTAAGTCTTGTAATTTTCAGTCTACATTTGTCAAAATGACCTTTAATACTATAACTTAAAGTGTACTTTCCATTGTTCCTTCTACAGAAGCTACAGCAGCTCAGAAGCTGAGAGAGACAGTTATAACGGATGCCATATGTCTCGTTCTTTCATTTACTATTAAGAATTCCAGAATTTTTACTTGCAAGAAAGATGGCACGACTTTTTTTCACCAGTAAGAGAAAATTTATTTGGTTTTTTTTATGTCGTTGAGTTCAAATTATAAAATTGTAATCGATTATATATCATATTAAAAACATCAAACCTCATTAACAACATTCAACATCACTATCATTTTTTTTTAATAAAAAAATTGTGATGGCAGACGCAAAGCAAGGTATGAATGATTTTTATTAAAAACTATATTTCTTTATGCGATGGTTGTTAATAAATCACTTTTTTGGTAAGCGTTATTATCTGCTTTAACAATGAATTGATTAGTATGGCATCCTTCCATGACCACATTTATAATGGCCATCGATATGTGCAGCATTGTCAACGTAATTTTTTTGCTTCATTATTATGTAGCGTAGCGTGTACATACGTTTTCAAGATTATAGTCCAGGTGATATTATCTGGATTTCCAATATAGATAGTGGGTTAAGTTTCAGCCAGTTTCAATATTCGTTGAAATATAATATTTACTTACGGGCACGTTCGTTTCTTTAGAAATTGGTCTTTGTCATGTAAATAAATGAATTGAGAAATAATTTTAGTGTACTCTAATATCTGTCATTTGATTAAAACGTGATAATTGATATTATTGTTAAAAACTCATCCATATAAATTTGCATTGCATTCCTTTTTCTTTTTTTCAGGCAAATCACCCATGGAGGATTATTGCAATGGATCATCACAATCCAGGGTGGTATTGGCCAAGCCTAGGCTAGGTGGTTTTGGATCTTCTAATTTTGCATCTAGCTCCAACAAAAGTTGTAATCCATTTGGTAAATTGATATAATAATATTTTCTATTCATTGTCTTTATGAAATCTTATTAGGTAGTCTTAAATAATTCTGTTTACCCATGTGATGAGAAATATTCAGATTATGTTAGTTTTTTAAATAATAAAAACATCAAGAATAGTAGAAGAGATACACTTAACAGTTTTTTTGTAGATTAATATCTTGCCTGAGGTGAATCTTTCAAATGGAAAATATTTAGCTTGTTTTAAGTTTTCAGCTTATTTTTTCTTCGATTACTGTACACATTGATATTGTACATTTTAGTGAAATAATTATATTTTCATAACCTTATAGTCTTTAAAATAAGGGTGACTACTTTATCTTTCAATTTATGCAAGTGTAACTTTAGAACAAAAGTAGTTGCCTCATAATAATATACAAGAGTTTAAAGCATAAATTAAGTGTATTAAAAGTAATAAATAATATTTTTATTTTTATAATAGCTTAATTAATAGATATTTGGTTGATTTGTATTCATTTTACAGGATCTGTTTTGCGTCCGCCACAGTTAAAAGCTACAACAAATCCATTTCTTAAAGTAACTGAAAATCTAGAATCTGACTCTGAAAAAGACAAAAATAAAGAGAAAACAGAATCTGAAATTGATGAGAAACATAATGAGGACAGACTAAAAGAAAACAAAGATGAACCTGAGGCTCCAAAGTTTATTCCACTTGGCTCTGCTAATGTGACACCTAGGACCAATAATCCAGTGGCAGCTCCAGTTCAACCAGCCTCTGGTTCATCTGGTTTTGTATTTGGACAGAATTTAAGTGAGAGGGTTGTATTGAATGAGAACCTCAACAATGGAGAAGCTTCTGCAGTGGATCATAGTTCAACAAATGGAGCAACCGAATTGCTATTTACAAGTGCTGTGGCATCAGTGAAAGAAAACAACCAGGTTCTTAAAAATTTGAACATTAAACTAACTATTTCCTATTTCAAAAATTAACATTACTTTTGTTTCGATAAACTATTAATCTTTATGTAGTTTTTGGGGCTCAATTTCCAGTCAAAGAAGTTTCGAATGACACATGAAACCTATAAATGGCACATGAATCATAAAAATTATTTTAATATGACACTTGCTAGTTTTCTATTCAAAACTAACTTGTCTGCGCCAGTGGCTTCGTCCGCGTGGTCTTGTATTATATGTACATAAAAACCTTCCTTTTGAATCAACCTATCTATGAAAAAAAACCATATCAAAATTTGTTGTGTAGTTATAAACATTAAGCATACATAGTTATATAGGGACAGAAAGTGCCTTTGTTTTATACTATGTAGTGATAACGTTTTTTTCTCTATTGACTTTCAATTATAATCAGCAGCCTGAAGAGCCAGGTCCTAGTGAAGCTAGTAGCAGCACTGAAAGTTCGAGCCTGGCTGCAGCCGCTGCTGAATATGAGCGCTCGCATGCACGACCGCCTCCTCCAACTACTAATTATACTACGACGGGTGAAGAGGGCGAGATCAATGTATTGCAGGTATAGAAACCTCGGGACTAATTGTCTTATTTTAAAATATATCATAATTCCTTTCAATTTGACAGTTGAAAAATATTCACAAACTACAACTAAGTATTTGCCATGTGAAAGCGATCGCGAATTTTTTTTTAACATATTGAATGAAGGATATCTTTAATACGAAGTTTATTGGTATAAATATTTTTGGTTTGTCCATCAGGTAGATTGTTGAAATATATTAAATACTTTTTTTTTGCATAATCTATAAATAACGCGATTCATTGGCTTATTATATAAGCCATTTCTTGTTTAATTAAAGTAAAAAAAATATGTATGTGATATTTTTCTACCGTAAAAAAAATATGTATGTGATATTTTTCTACCTGGATTTTTGAACAATGTTATGTTGTGTGTATCGTGTGGATTAGAAGGACATTGTTCATTATGAGCTGTTACCGCCAGGCAGGACCATCGATTCTGAATTCTACTGCGAACAACTCATATGATTAAAGCAAGAAGTTAAGTAGAAGGAAGCAAGAAAGCGGCCCGAATTAATGAGTAGAAGGGGTGATGTTTTTCATCACAACGCTAGATCTCACTCATCTTTTGCTAATCAGCAAAAAATAAGAGTTTGGCTGGGAGGCGTTAACGCATATGCCGTATAATTCTGACCTTGCATCTTCAGAATTCCACTAGTTTCGCTCTCTTCAGAAATCCTTAGGCAATGTCAGGTTAACATCACGCGACGACTGCCAAAACCACTCGTCGTGGGTTTTTGATCAGAAGCCTCGAAATTTTTTTGCAATGGGATCAAAAAAGTAAAAAAAAAGTAAACGAGCAAGAAACTCACCAGCTCTAATAAGAGTAATGACATTTACAAAAACTATGTCATCACCAGATCAATACATTATATATAGAGAGAGAAAAAAATACTATGGTCTTATAATGATAACTTAATCATTTAATAATAATGGAAACATGATAATGAGTTTAGAAGTAATTACCTATCCAGTTGATGGATCATCTCAAGTCCAAGCGTTCTTATCTGTTATATAATCGGATACCTTATAATAAGCTTCTTTAATAAGTATTTTTTTTTAATAGTAGATTTAAACTGCATGATATCTAATTTTTGTATTTTGCTTGGGACCTTATTGTAGAAGCGCACACAAATACCCTTGAATGAGTTATTAACTTTTTGCAGTCTAGTGACAGGCACCGTTAATTTATTTTTATTTCTTGTATTAAAATTGTGTACATTACTTTTTATAAGATCATGTCTCTACTTAGAAGATGGCAAAAAGTATCGAAAAAAAAATGGTACCTACACACTTTAGTAACATGTTAATAAACTTTATTTAAAAATCTTTTAAATTTTCATATAAAATGCGAAGAAACTTTTTCCCCAAAGTTTAATTAAAGAATTACACGCAATCGCGCAATTTTCGTTATCAGCCGTCCGAGAGTGATTAACGAATGTAGAACATTTTGTTGCCGATCAGATCTCGTGTCGTCTTTTCGCGTGGGAGTCTGGTAGTTGGAGGGAGCGCGGGCGCGGTGTGTTGCGGCTGAATGACGCGGCGGCGGCGGCGGGCGGGGGCGCGCGGCTGGTGGCCCGCGTGGCGGGCTCCCTGCGGGTGGTGCTCAACACCAAGCTCTGGCCCGCGATGGTGGTCGAGCGGGCCGGGACCAAGTCCCTGCGCATCACCGCCGCCGACGCCCACCAACAGGTCAAACTGTTCTTGATCATGGTCAGTATAACGCTCGTCCACTTTTGTGTTTTCCGTAATAGAAAATAGAATATTATTCTTAATGAGAAATGGTGCTCTGTGTTTGTTCAGACTTTTAAATATTTTCAAGTTAAGCATTGTGAATGTAGAATTGATCGAATTTAATAATCAGGACAAACGATCATGTCCAATTTCCATACATTGATTGACCTGTACCACCATTAGTGATAATTTAATTAGTTTTTGCTTAAAATAGAATAATATCTTCTCATCTGGAGATCAGGGAAATTCAGAAATTGAAAATGTTTTGAGGTTATAACAACTGTCAAAGCTCAAGATAATTGTGAAGCTACTTTAAAAATTAATTATTGATTTCAAAGTTTTAATAATTAATTTAATTGTTAAGTGCATTTTTTTTTGTACTTTTTTACCATATGACGAAAGAATATTTTTTCGTATTAGAAGAAACGAAATGATGATACATTTCGTTTCTTCTACCGTCATTGGGTCAGAATCGCATTCGTGTAGTTATCATATTATTATTTTAAAATATTTATAAGCCTCACAACTTTTATCCTGACTTTATTTTAAGATTTCATTTCCTGATATGAAATAATAAAAAAATAAGCTACATTTTCACATCGCTAAACGTGTTAGTAAATTTTTAGGTCAAAATTGAACTGAAAGTTTTAAATATTTGTAATATTTTTACAATAAGACTCAACTAATATGGTAAATCTTTGTTTGTGTACAGCAAACCTACCAATTCTAATAATGATTAAAATGTAAAATGAGCCTTGTATTAATAACTAACAGATATAATAAAAAATGGTTCCATGTCACTCAAACTAGCCGTGGGTCAGATGTTAAACATTAGAGGCAAACAATACAAATGTATAGGCGAGTAGAGCATTACATTGCACAATTTGACTGATTTGAGCATTACACTGATGACGCGAATACATTTATAGTTTGCCTCTAATGTTTAACATCTGACCCACGGCTAGTTTGAGTGAAATGGAACCATTTTTTATTATATCTGTGAGTTATTAATACAAGGCTCATTTTACATTTTAATCATTATTAGAATTGGTAGGTTTGTTGTACACAAATGAAGAATTACCATATTAGTTGATTCTTATTATATTGTTGTCTTTGTTCTTTCTATTTGATTTTATCCCTTTCTACCGCCCTATCTTTTGAATAACTGACAACTTATTACAAAACATTTGAAATACTCATATTGTGTATCAAAAGTAATGTGTGTCAACAACTTCTCACATCTGTAACATGATCAGATTTTAATTTGTATTTGTGGTCAAGGATTTATTGTTGAATACCATTTTTTTTGGAAACCCTAGTGCATATATAACATTTGAGCGTTTACATATACACTAATTCTACAGACAAACTACTAATTTACAGATCAGTATAACATTGAAAAATATTAAACTTTATTGACTTTCAGCCTCTTTATTTCACCACGCTAATGGTTTACACTTTATACACTTCTTTGTTTACATTCTATAAACATAGAATGTATGAGTAGTTTTAGTATGCATTATATGTATACCTTATTGGTAGGAAATAAGATTGATAATAGAAATTTTTATCTGTTTTTAGGGCGCGCCGGCGGACATTCATCAGTTGTACAGGGCTCTAACGACAAGAATAAGCGTGAACAAACGCTCAAGTGAATGTGCTCAGAATGTGACGTCTCAGCAAGCTGCCGAACGATTGGAAGCGACCGCGGACGTCAGCGAGTACATGGACAAGGCGGACAATGAAACTTACGGGCGTGCTCCCTCTGAGAATACAGTAGAAAGCATCGTAGACGACTCCCCATCACCTACTGAAAGATTAGAAGGCACACCTGTAAAGGACACTGACGTAACCGAACCTGATGACGTCGAGAGGAAAGAGGACTCGAAATCTCTGAAGAGGAAAGAATCTGCCGAAGATGAAACCTCCTCCAAGAGACAGCGCTCTGAAGTTTTAACAGAGTGATAGACTTATAATGGTGACGCAGTGTGTATGATCCGTGGTGTATTCCTAAACGTGGACATAGTTCATTGGAACTTCGCATTCTGAAAATATGTATCTAAGGAGACCTGTAGAGTTATTTATAATTAAATTATAGCATTAAATAATGTTTCGAATTATTGATGGATCATCCATTTGTAATAATTGTCATGACAGGCGTTTTATGTGAAATATCCGTAAATTATTTGGCTTTTAAAGTTCTAATATCACATTCCAATGTAAGTATGCAATGCATATTCGGCCAGAGCTGAATACCAAATAATAAATGAGGATTAATTTTTAATAGACAAATAAATGATTTTACATTATAATGTATCATTTGGGTAACCTTGAGAACCTTTGTAAAAAGCTTGACATTAACGGAAAGTGTAATTTGTATATTACGAGAAATAGGCTAGAATATTTTGTGAACAATACATTTTAAAGGAAGCTAATTACGTCACATAACTGCAAATACCAATTAACACGTATATAATTGAGACAGTCGTCTAAATAATTGGCGTGTTGGTGGTGTTATCGATACTGACGTCTAATTGAAATTGTACGAGGAATTATGCATAAGAAAATTGCAAAATTGTCGTTTGCCCTTAATTTGTAAAAAGAATACAAGATGTTAAACATTAATAAATTGCATTAATATTGATATCTCTTGTATCTTTTCATCCTCCTACGGTTATCATATTCTGTCAAGTGGTCAAAGTCCGCCGGCTTATAAGTCTGAAGTTCTGTTGAAAAAAGACAGCTTCGAACACAACATTAAACCTATATTTATGAATTGAGTCGGCAACGGCTTAACGTACCAAATTACGGAGAATAAGATAGAAAATCTTTGGTCATTGCCGCTAATCAATAGTGTGGGGTGTGCTAAGTAAACGCGTATCATTTGTTCACGGTTTATAGTACTTTATAATAACAAACGGTCCGACTTTAGTGTCTGTAAGCCCCAGCAGTTCGTCATTAATATTGAATAAATTGTCTCTTAAACAGCAGAGCATGCCTGATGGCGGTCCAGGGATAGAAAATAATCCACTTGATTCAGATTCGTGCTGGCGATCTTGAAGAAAAACTATTTTCTTTAGAACCTAAGGACCGAGTTGTGTATGCCTGCTGTAAACACCTCTTTGTTATGTCGTAGGGCATTATGCACTATCCCTGTTGCTTTGACAGGCGGCAGGGGGGTGCGTGGAACTGCAAACACAACCGCCCGAAGGCTAGTCTAAATACGTACCTTCTAAACCTGAGAGGGTTTAGAAGTAACAATGCAGCTGAGGTGATACATTCTCACTTTTTGGGGAAAGGTCTGGAATTCAGCAGGCACTGCTCCACTGCAGAGGACGAGGCTAGAGTGCATCAGAACCTCCTTCCCAGACAGTTAACTACTTTTGAGGAAATAATCTCTTCCGCCCTACGGTACGATGATGATCTCGGTGTCGGCGACGTTAGCATCGCCGATGGGAAAAGGTCATCAAGATGTAACATTGCCTCTACTGCACGTACCCGCGCCACTAGTCTTGCAGACCGATTATCCTACGTGCCCGCAACACTTCCGGACCGCAGTCGGCCATGCTTTCACTCTTACTGCCCCTTCCACTGGATAAATGACTGTTGGGCGGAGAAATTGGGCGATTAGTGTTTTTGGAAACCAGAACTACCCCGTCATGATCACTGGCGTGCCGTCGGTGGGGACGCGTAAACGTGCATCCTTCTTGCACAGATGGCTTACCCGCCGGCGTCGTCTGTTCTCTTACCATCCCCTAATGAAGGTCATTTGAAAACCAAAATATTTTCTGTAACTGGAATGTTACACTCTAAATATATTCATAAAGGAAAAGATGCAATATATTCTAGAATATAGCCACGCCGCCGCCGAGCAATAATCTTTTTCTGCGATTTTCAGTAGCGACGCCCAATTTGGGGTTATATTAGCGATTTGACAATAAACGAAATTTCATATTCAACGAAACAGAGGTATTCTGCTCTTTAGATATGTCGATGCTTATATATACACCTTCCCTCTAATAATAATGCTTATTAAAAACACGCTGTAGAATTGAATAGTTCAAACAGCCTTCGAATACCTTCGAGGAGTACAATTTTTAATTAATTGTTGCAGCGTCTATAAAACGGCGTACCCATACGTTGTAATGTGCGTTTACTATTACTCTAATATGGAGGGTGTCAGGAAGTATACACTACTTAAAAGTCTTAGACCTCACTACATGAGACTCGATAAGCTGGCATTCTTATACACAGATAATCTAACAATTAAGAGTTTTTTGTACAATAGCAATATCATGAGTGGTATTTGTTGGACTGCAACTATAGTTTATAATATCCAGTATTTGATAAAGATGATCCAGGTTAGTATATCATAATCTAAACTAGTTCTCCAGCGGCTTTTCCCGAATAGTTTACATGATGACTTGACCCAAATATATATTTTTCAAAAACCATTCAGGTGTTTGCGTTCTCACAAAATTTTGCAATTATAATATCAAAATCATCAGTCCTTTTATGACCTCACTGCAGGAGGACGTAAAAGAGCTCAGGACTTCCTTTTGAATAGTTAAGGAGAAGACCCTTGCGAAAATTGCTCAACAACAATGACCGTGGGCCGCGGCGCTTGTTCACTCCGCCACCAGCACTATAGGGATGATGACTAATTTTTGTTTGTTTGTCCGTCAGGTAGAGTGTTAAAGAATATTAAACACGTATTTTTTATTTTTTTCGTTATCATAAAATTACGGCGTTACATTGAGTTGAAATTTCGCATGACGTCACGTTAGAGTACGTTTTCTACTCAACTGTGACGTAGCGAGCACCCACTCCTCAACTTTAATGCCTGTTATCTAAGCTATTTCTTGTTAAATTGAAGTAAAAAAAAAAATACGTGTCTAATATTTTTCTATTATCTGACTGACGGACTAAATAGAATTTCATTTTTTTTACCCAGTCATCATCCCTATTATTATTTCAGTAGTATTTAAATCTCCATGGTTTTTCAGAATCGGCATAATATAGATGAGATGGTGGATACGTTGTTCGTGTTCCTGACAACTTTCAGCGCTTTGTTTAAACAATGTACATTTACTTTGCGAATGAAACGTATCAAACTACTTTTTGAGACGGCTAACGACGGTATGGTTATAATTTATTTGACGTAGTAATTTTCTTTTTTTTTAAATAGACAAATTAAAATGACTGAGGCCTTTGTCAAAATTTAGAATAAGGTTTTTTTCAATAACTAGGTACTAAAAAGTTTAGTTCATGTCGCATATAAAGTCCCGTCGAGTCAATATAATAAAGGACCTTTCTTCTATATTGTGTCGGGTCTGGATGTTGTAGTTTCAGTGTTTTAGATTTCCAAAATACAAGTGCTTTAGTTAGGAACCACTTAATTTGGAATCTGAACAATGTATGTGATTTTATACAATACCTACTGAATATACTACAGAACACAAAATACGATTCCATTTAATCTGCAACTATAGCTTACTTTATATAATAGTGGGATATGGGATATAATAAGTTTCTCCATGTCTGTCTGTCCGTCCGTCCGTAGCTTATCTCAAAAACTATTGGTACTGGATAGTTGTAAATTGACATGAGTATACACGTTAATTACGTCGACAAGAAGGCTGAGTAAAATTTTTGAAAACTTAAAAAATTTATGTTACCCCTACATGTAAAGTGGAGATGATATTATTTTTTCGTCTTCTCCATAATGTAAGGCATCGTTGGATAGTTCTTTTAAAAACATTGGGCGTGTGGGAAGGCCGTTTTTCGGTTTATAAGTAGGTAGCTGTTTCTGACTTATTAAGCTTTAAAGAGCAATTTTCGTTAGTCCACCAACTACATAAATGGTCGTTGGTAAAAATTCAAACGTTTCGGCAGTACTTACATTGGCTTTACAAGTTAACGAGTAATAATTGACCAACTTTATTTAACTCGAAAATTTTGAATAACTTCATAGAAAATAAAAAAAATGTTTTTTTTTTACCTTCGTGCACGAGTCTAATTCACCCTTGGGCGATTTTTTTTAAGGTTTTTGAAACGGATATTATATATTCAACTTTTGGCGCAGGTGAATTGTTTGCTCCTAAAAACCCCGCACATTTTAAACTGGTAGAACAAAATGAAAAATCTATGGGTAGACTGCATTCTGTTTTCATTACAAGTGTATTATTTTGTTGCATCTTTATGAGTCTTTACCCAATTGGCAACAAAGCTTTGGGTTTAGAGGTGAAACATGATATATTTTTTCCTTTTGATACAAGCAAATCACCTATGTAAGTACCTATAATCTTAATAAGGAAATTATATAGCCGTTTTCCCACGACTTCGCCCACTCAAAATATAATCCATGTCACCCGCGTATGATGTAGCTTCCCAAGTACTCTCTCCAAGGCTCTACCTTGGAGAATTACGGGCTCCACAATGCACACAATTAAATTTTCTTCTCATTAGAATAGATAAGTGAAATACTTTGCGATTGAATGCACGTATAAGAAGGCGCGTTTACCAAAAAAATACTTTTAATGAGGAAGTATTTTAAGAAAAAAACCACAGCACTAAAAAGCGCCTCACTTGATCGACTCTATCTAAAGTTGATTTTTGCAGGAAACGAATGGATCAAAGATAGTCATTTCCGTTTCTTTTAACTAACATATTAAAAAACTGAAATTTGCAAAATTCGAAACTTAAATATCAATACAAATACGACAAATTACAAATAGAATATGAGTTGTTTATTGAGTTTTGAAAATTAATTTAATTTTATACACGAAAGAAAACCGGAAGGGTTGTCATGGTGAAATCAAGAAAGTACTGTAGCGACATCTAGTTTGATTTCGTGAACTAATGTTTTTTTTAATCTTCATAAATGTTTTTATTCCATTGTTTGTTTACACAAAGGAGGAGATTATATGTTGGACGGCGATGTTGTTTTTTATATATGTTTACCGAATTTTCAGCAAATTGTTGAACGATTTTCAAAATTGGGTTAACGAAAAAAGTTTAGATTCTGTGATTTAAACAGATATTTAAATATTTATTAAAAAATTAAGTATGTTTTACATTTACAGATTCGAATTAGTCTGCTTATATATAGGTGTTATCCTCACATTTCAAGGCTACCTTAATGCTGTCATAGATTGTACTATTGTAGCATTTTATGCGCAATGTCGAGTACAGCTAAGTATGCTAAGATATGATCTGGAACATCTGGCCGATTCGGTCGATGGAGAGGAATATGGAATCGGACAGGACTTGGTAAAGAAAAGACTAGTCAATTGTGTTAAGCATCATCAGAAAATTGTATGGTAAGTATCTACGTACAATGAATTTCCAACCTTATTCTTTTCTATCTATGTATATCCACGCGGAATCCCTAATAGAATTAAAGATGCCAGAGTGTGCATCAACGGCTCAATGAAACTTGGCGTATTAAGCAAACACTGGATCTTGGCGCCCTACGCAAAAAACTGAATCATGGCAACCTAGGCAAAACACTGAATCATGGCAACCTAGGCAAAACACTGGACCTTAGCGCCTTAGGCATAACACTGGATCTTGGCGCCCTAGGCAAAACACTGGATCTTGGCGCCTTAGGCAAAACACTGGATCTTGGCGTCTTAGGCAAAACACTGGATCATATCGCGCTAGGCAAAACACTGGACCTTGGTCTTATAAAGAATTAAAGAGTGTAATTTTGGCAGTGACAAAAGAAACTCCTTAGGTACTGGTGGTCTGAAAATGTTGTATTTTTCTATACCGCGGAAATGGACTCATGTTCAAAGAATATTAGTTAATATTTAGGTATTGCATTTTTAAGGTTCAAATAATTAGAGCAAACAATAATTAGAGCAAAACATAGGTTTGCCATGATGCCGCCCTCAAAACACGAGTCTTTATATAACTACTTATTTTGCTTACAGCCAGATGCACAAACATCCATTAAAATAGTCATTAATTTAGATCGACATTACCCATACAAATATGACATTCATTAGAGCTTAAAGTCGTTATTAAACCTTAATGGACCCTCCCTCATAACCCTCATAACTCTTTAAAGACCTTCATCGATTTATATGATTCTATCACAGATTCTATGTTTCTTCTATGTTCCTAATATAATCTTCCAGTCCGATAATACCGGGATCAATTTTTAAGGGCAGCTTTACGCGCTTGAATAGCGTTTCACGAAATTACTACTTTTATATTCATTTTATTCTAAAGCTATGCTAATGTTTGCCAATTAAAATAATTTTATGAGAATTAAACATATGGTCGATTGTTTGGTAAAAACATAAATTTTCAATAATTGGCTCGAAAGACAAGATCACAAAGATACATCTTAACTATATAAAAATATATACAAAAATAGGTTATCTTAAAATAATCAAAATATTTTTTTACAACTGCATTTGTTTTTTTCTGTGATTAAAAATGTATGAAATCAAGCGAAGTGATGAAGTGAAGTCTTTACTCTCACTGCGGAGATGTTAATTATTTCCTTTAAATAATTATTTTATTTGGTTTAAGGTATTTGACAGAAACGCAGTCCATTTATAATGAATGCATGACTTTACAAATCGCCATAACGTGTTGGACTGTATGTATGTCTGTATACAAAATGGTTACAGTAAGTATGTTAACGAGTTAGCGTAATTTATAATCGGTCTTCGTTTGTCAGCGGCGATTATATTTAGCCCGCGCCACCCCGATCTGCGCATATTTGTTTAATAGGAATAGGCGATGTTTAATAGGGGCGTGATTATATTAGCCCCTATATGAAAACTGGACCTACCCGTCGAAGGCGTCATGCGGCGCGGTTAAACATACTTTGTACCTTTAAATCTAAGACTTCAACAACAGCTTTGTCTGTTTCCTTAGACTATAATCAAAGCTATTTTTCTAGTGATAGCTGATGATGGCAACGTTTCAAATATAATGAATATAGTTTTTGTATATCTGGCGTTGGGTTCGCTTTCCAGACAATAGAACATTTATGCTATTCTATTTTATTATAAAAACATTCGACCTCGAATCCGACATCAGATCGAACAAAGAGGTTAAATTAAAAATAAAACCTACTTGGAAAGGTAATAAAGGTTTTATTTCATTGAAACTCTAACAGTCACAGCGCTGTATTCGACGTCGACTTTGAGGCTGCTTTTCCAGAATAGCAGAACAACAATATCTAACGATAACGATATTGGACTATATTTATTTATTAATTGTTTGTCTTATGCATTTTTTTCAGATAAAAATTATTTCAGGGGTTTTCTTTTCAACGACGATGTACTTGACTTGTGTATTATTACAGTTATTTATGTACTGTTATTATGGAACTCAAGTTATGGAAGAGGTAGGTATATGTATAATAAAAAAAATGATTTAGTTAACCGTTCGTGATTATATTTTATAGTGCCAATTTAGAGTCAAGTGTTCCCATATCAAGAGAGGGGGCTCTATCAACTGAACGGTTGTTAGAAACTCAAATGTCACTCACGCCAATAGTACATAGTCTTGCCATAAATATTGTTAAATAGCAAATCAACATTTTTTTGATTGAACGTATTATTAATTATTATTGTGTGTTAAAAGAGTGTTAGTTTAATATAGTATGTATAGCTTATCGAAGTGGGCTACATTGTCTGCAATAATCCTTTATACGTTGAGGCTAGTTATCAATAGACGCACGCACTCTTTTCATTGGAAAATTCTTAACATCCAACCGTATGGCAAAATAAAAATCAAGTGAACGTGTTGTCATTCAATGTAAAATAATAGGTACTTGGATATCTTTATTTAGGTATGTATAATGTACATGTTTCCAGAGCGACCTCGTCTCTGTGTCAGCGTACTATTGTAACTGGTTAGCTTTATCGCCTTCATCCCGCCGCCAGCTGTTGATCTTCATGATATGTTCTTCAAAGCGACTCATGATCTCCGCAGCGAAAATCGTGCCTGTTAATTTGGACTCTTATATAACGGTAACAACAAATGTTTAAAGAGTTTTGCTATATACCCATACATTGTTATTTATACACAAAGTTTAGCGTTGGAGTAAATTTACGCTGAAACTGCACTTAGTATTAGTCAAAATTCATATTATTATACAGAGAATTAGCAAAGGTTAACCTAGTACGAGGTTATACGGGAGTAATATTTGCTCCTAGAAGGTCTATTACCTTCTCGTTTGCTTATTCTGTGTATAATATGAATTTGGAGTAATGCTACAATTGCAATTTTAGCGTAAATTTACACTGACGCTAAACTTTGTTTATTAATAGCAATAATAGTGTAGAATGTTACCTACTTGGTCGTTTATCCATCCAAAGACATGTCAAAATAGAAAATTGAATCGAAATATCGTCATAACATCGCTTAAATACCGTACCTATGGCTAGTGTCATGGCTAAAGATTTATATTCGGTTGTTACTTACGCGTATACCTCTATGTGTGTACTCTGCGAGTTGTTCCTAAAACGAAAGAGCAATATGTGTAGATAAGTGTAGGTTCGTTACCATCAAAGTTTACTTAAATCCAAGTTTCAGATAAGAGTTTAAATAAGTACCTAACATTCTATACGCGTCGAAGAAAATAAATATATAATTTGATTTTATTGCATTCGGAAAGTAAAATCCACGAAAATTAATAAATAATTTTCTAATTATGTCAGTAGCTTGTTAAAATAATAGTGTTCCTAATGTTTGTAATTGTTATCAAAATACAACAAATTTTTCATAAGTGCTCGTATATTTTTTTATTAAAGCTATCGATTCATCACCATCACATCACCAGCCCTTTTACGTCCCCACTGCAGGGGCTCAGGCCTTCCTTATGGATGGTTAAGGAGGATGGGCCATGACCCTCCACGCTGGCCCAATGCGGATTGGAGGGTATTGACGACTGCAAATGCAGCCGGGACCAACGGCTTAACGTGCACTCCGAAGCACGGAGTAGCTCGAGATAATAATTTTTTGGTCACCCATCCCGTGACCAACCCTTGCGAAAGTTGCTTAACGACTACGATCGCGGGCTGCGGCGCTTATCCACTACGCCACCGAGCTACTCATTATATATAGATTGCTGAGCAATAACTATGTTTTATTATTATTTTCCAGGTACTACGCGCTTCATATACACTATTCACTCTTTTACGTACGAAATAGGTTAAAAAAAATTAGACCAATTGTTTTAGTGTCTGTAAATTAAACCATTACCTATTTCTAGATATCACAGCAAAATAAACGTTTCGATCTAAATTGTTTTTAAAGTGAAAGTAATGTAGGTATCTAAAACTATAAAACTGTCACGTGTGAAAATGTAATATTTATTAAAAATACACACTTTAATTCCATTTAAAGTCGTTTAATTTTGTAAGTAGTGTCCCTGAAATATAATCAACAGGTAAATAAGTGAAGTTATTATATTTGAACTATATTGCATTCACAATGCTATATCGAAAAATATACATAACGAAAAATGCTTAAAACATTTCTTTCTCTGCTCTGCAGTAGAGGAAGGGTAACAATTGCTTGAAAGATTCGTCAATCCTGTTAGATCCTGGTTAGCTCAGTGGTTGGAGATTAATGTTGGATTTTGGATTTTAATGATGCCTTGCAATATCTAACATCAAAATAGCAGATGTTTCCCGCAACTCCGCCCGCGTAGCTTTCCGTAGGTGAATTAATTTTCATTGAGTTATAGCAATCCATAACATATTTGTTATTAAACATATTATTCATATATTTTTTCAAATTAATGATGATTTATAAAGAAAATTGCAAAAAAATCATTAATTAAACGATAGATACTTGTGATCAAAGGGTGTAGACGCAAGGTATCGGGATCTGAGATTGACATGGTGTTGACAAGCTTATTTTGCCGGCGTCGTTGATGACGTGACTGGGCGGGCGGGCGTCGGTGCGCGGCATCATGACGCCGATCTATTGTTTTACTGGCTGGAGCGACATTCCATTGTTTTATCTCTATTGTTAAGTTAAAAATAATTCGAAGGTTGTTAATTGGCTCAAAACGACGAATATTCTTCGATTTTCATTTATTACACCTAAATATTTAGCCATTGTTATTGTTTTATCGAAACTGCAATATAATTTCCGACTTTAATCAGAAACAAATCAAAGATATCTGATGTCTCAATTCGTGCCACATACAAGTTGAGGACATCTATTATTATCATTCCTGAGCTTTATCATTTTGTGTTGCGTTTAAAATCTTGTAAAATGATTATTTTAAGCACACAAAGTATTTTTGAAATCGCTTAAATTGATGTCGGAAGCGAGCGGGCGTCGGCTGTTGAGTCACACAGAGTCAGCCAGACGATCCCTCTTCAGTGCTCCATACGTCGTAAGTGCTGAAAGTCGTGTAAAAAGTTGTATCCGGCCGCGCATAGGTAACGCGGTAAATCGCAAGGAATTCCGTTTATAAATAATCGAGGAAACGCGAGCGGGAGCGGGGGTCGTCAGAGCGAAGGCCCGCTGTAACAGATGGCGCGTGTTCGCCGCGAATTTTGCTCGCGTTATTATATTGTGCCCATATGCTGCGTGACTGCATATTTTTGAAAAGTGATGCAAAGATTGGTTTAATTTCTCCTGTATGAATGCAAGTTATTGGATTTGAAGAATTGTTTCTTTAGGGAAAGTTCTAGGGGTTTTGAAACGGCGAGCATGCGCGTTCGCACACTCCGATGATATTCTCCGGCGGGGGGGCTCGCCGGCGCAGCTCGCCCGCGCCCCGCGCCCGCCCCGCCCCGCGACACCATGCCAACTTTGTAAGTTGACAATCCGTTGATCCCTAATGAAAAACATTGATGTTGTTTATCACGCGTCTGGATGCTACCTAAATTACTTTTTACGACTTATTATTGCGAGTTTGGATGTTACAAACAATATGACAACATTTTTAAATGAAAATAATATATAATTAAAAATAAGATTGCAATTTATCATATTACAAACCTAAAAATATTTATGATACATTATAGATATATGATGGACTCTTATGCAATAAACTTATAGGTAACTATGGAACTAATTTGTATTTAGGTTCATAATAAAACATAGTTTTTCTCCGAAAACCCGTTTTTTTAGTAAATAAAATATACGTAAACAAACGCCTGTAAAATTATTTTTGTGGTTTGCTTGTTATTAAACTACTTAAAAATAAAACCTAGTTTGTTCAAGCGGTAAGTGTAGGATCACTTTTTAAAATTTCAACCTTTACCGTATGTGCTGAAATTTTACATGTTTAAAAATACCCAATTCATTATTTTATTCAACATAGTTCACATAGTATTTTATAATTTTTATTTAAACAATGTTTATCGTTAATTTAAAATTATTTCGTTATTTTAATTTACTGTGTAATTAATTTCATCATCATCATCCCTTTTACGTCCCCACTGCAGGGGCTCAAGCCTTCCTTATGGATGGTTCATTAATTTACTTAATTAAAAAAAATTAGATGAGATGACAAAAAGCATTTTAAGTTTCGCTGTTAACCTGCGACTTTACCCGCGTAAATAATGGCCTATGTTACCCGCGTAGGATGATTTAGCTTCTAGTAGGTGAAAGAACTTTTAAAATCGGTCCAGCACTTTCAGAACCTATATTCAATGTAAAAAATGAACCTTTAAGCCGATAAAGAAAAGTTATTTTTCATGGGGACTACAGAAATGGCGATTCCTTGTAACAGGCGTGCGAGCCATAATTTAAAAAAGATCTATAGATTCACGAGGTCGTCAAACTGAATCTATTCAAAAAGTATGTTCTTAAAATACAATGCAGAAAGATTTCATTCATTTCATATTCCAATTTTAAAAAGTTACACTCTCTTCGTTGGTTGCTTATTTGTTTGTATTGTAGTAGCCACAGACTAAGAAAGAAGATACTACGTGTAGTAGCGAATCACACGGTGGGCACAATTGATTAGAATTCATCACTAGCGCTGTAATGTACCTACTGCTGGAGCACAGCCCTTATCATTGGATAAAATCAATCAAACAGATTAAATAGGAAGAATGGGCCTTGATGACCTACCACGCGGCCCCAGTGCGGATAAATGGGTGTTAACGACTGCAGATGGAGCCAGGATCAACGGCTTAAAGTACTTCCGAACCGTGGAGGCGATAGAAATAATTTTTGGCCACCCATCTAAGACCGGCCCTTGGGAAAATTGCTTATCTTCGGTGTTGCACATCGAATGCGCTAACCATTGCACCATCGAGCTCTTTGAATTGTATATGATATTGAATTTGTAACTAGGTAATCTAAAATCTAACTAGTTAGAATATAATTATAAGGTTATTAATTGTATAGTTAACAAACGTATTTACAGAGATAATTAAGACATCGCGGAAACGTTAGCATCATTTGATGCGGAATCGATCATAATTAAGCTAAACAAATAGCAGTTATTTAAAAAAAATCTTGGAGCAAAGTGAATGTCTGTTTATTTACACAATGTTGCTCGTTATATCATAGACATACGGCGAGCTTCAGTTTATGACGTATTATAATAGTTTTAACGCTTTTACAATCATGATTATAAATTGTTTATTAACAACGTGTTAACAAATTTTAATAAACGATGATTGATTGTATAATCTACATGTATACACTTATAGAATGTATAGAATACCGAGAGCGTTCAGGGACTATATGAAATATTATGAAGTGTTTTATGTGATTTTTTTTATAGTGATGTGAACAGTAAAATTGACCATCCAATGGCCAAGCAGGTGTTCTTTTTGCATTCGTCATTCTTCCACAAGCTCAACTTTTCTTGAGCATACACGAAATTGTCACTCATCTAACAGTTGAGCACGTTGGAGGACCAGAATGCACGACGCACGCTTGCTTTTGGCAGGGCTGTTCGAGGAACGGAAGGCCTTTCAAAGCGAAATACAAACTAGTGAACCATATACGCGTTCATACTGGAGAGAAACCCTTCCCTTGCCCGTTTCCGCAGGCTGCGGAAAAGTATTCGCTAGATCAGAGTTGCCAAAGTAGTATAGCTTTCGAATCAAAAATAACTATATAATAAACTTACGGAAAAGCGAACTTATACATATAAAAATACTTCGACCTTTAACTTGACTTCCTACCTTTTTGATTTAGAAGTCGGTAAAAAGTCCTTCCTTCTTATCAAGAATTAAGCTTATAAAGAGAACTATAAAATAAGATAACTAGTGGTTTATTGCGACTATTACAAACGGAGAAATAGTTTGTTTGCTATTTCTTCTTCTTTTCGAACGTGAGGTAATCATAAAAGTACATATTCAAAAAGAATGGAATTTTATAGAACTTTTATCAAAATGCTTATTTAAATCTTTATTTCTTCTACAATATTCTGTTGCATTTAAACTGTTGCACCTAAACTTTATTAGAAAATGTTGGTCTAAATTATTTGGTGAAAAAATGTGTAATTTACGCTCTGAGATGATAATTTTAATTAAGTTATCAAGTCATGTTAAAGACTATTTGCAAACATATGCAAAATTAAATTGTCATAAAAGAGCAATACCTACATTTTATGGGATTGTTTTTCCAAAATCACAAAAAAATATGTTTTTTAATTATTTTCCAAACTAAGCCGAATTCCTAGCATACTAAAAAAAGGATCACAAATAAATTTAGCTGAAAGGATTTATACACATATTACTGAATTGGGGTGGTAGTTAATAGGCGACATTTTCAATTTTACTACAACATAATTTTGGTCATTCATAAACTCGATTCTAGCCGAAATATTTTGTCAAAAACTTATTTTTTTTTTTTGAAAAATACATTGTTTTTCTAACATCTAACATTGAAAAAATAAGAACCAATCCTAAATATGTTATTATTATTACCGTTAGTGTTTATTATTACTCCGTTTCTAGTGGGATTATAAAATAAATAAAATAAAAAGTATTTATTTCAATAAATCCATACAAATATGTGGCCGGGGCTTCTCAAAAAGTAGTCTAATGACACTTGTGTTGGGAAAGCCTCGCTCATCCTTTACATTTTATATTAACTTAGATTTATGAATTAAGTACGGTAAGTAGTAACTTAGATTAAGAAAATTACAAAAATAAGATTATATAAAAAGAAAAAAAAATAGATAGTGTGTGTGCGTATGTGTGTGTGTTAGTGCGTGTATGTGTGTTAGTGTGTATGTGTGTGTGTGTGTGTGTGTGTGTGTGTGTGTGTTAGTGTGTATGTGTGTGTGTGTGTATGTGTGTATGTGTTGTGCATGTGTGTGCGTTGTGTGTGTGTTGTGCGTGTGTGATTGCGTTAGGGTGCTTCACATATGTATAGTTTGTATTAATCTATAAGTCAAGTTATTCTAATCAGAATGTCTTCCACTTCCTCATATGTAAGAGTAAAGAGCCAATCAGTCAAAATTATTTTACACTGGTATAGTTTCATAGGGTAAATACTAAGTATACGGTTTATCTTATTAAATTATAATCACTGTGAATCAAAGGATATTTTTGTTCTTTTATAAGCAATGCTTTTACTAAGAATATATTATACAAAAAAAAATGAGTTCAAATATCGCAACTAACCACCCTAAAAAGTGAATTTATTGAAAGAAAACACGGTTAGAGCTAGTAAAGATAAGTAAAATTATATAAAAATATTATAGGAAAAACTAAAGTTAATGGTATTCCAAATTTTTCTTAGCTTTTCAAAACTTGAAAGCTCTTGAGACTGCGTAAGCATACAGTTGAAATGTTTGTGTTATATTTAGATGGCAAATTATTATTCAATGAAATGATCGGACCCCTCTTTTCCTGTATCGATGAGAAACTTGATGTCTCACTATGTGTGATTGCGGAGATTAATAGAGTACATAAAAAATCAATAACTTTCAAGTGGCTCTGTATAAGAAATAACGTTCAACTAAGCTGTAATCAAAAATGACAATACAATAAATATATTCTATCTATTCAATAAATATATTCTATTAGAGTAGCTCAGTGGCGCAGTGGATAAGCGCCGCGGCCCGCGATCGTTTCGCAAGGGTCGGTCACGGGATGGGTGACCAAAAAATTATTATCTCGAGCTACTCCGTGCTTCGGAAGGCACGTTAAGCCGTTGGTCCCGGCTGCATTTGCAGTCGTTAATACCCTCCAATCCGCATTGGGCCAACGTGGAGGGTCATGGCCCATCCTCCTTAACCATCCATAAGGAAGGCCTGAGCCCCTGCAGTGGGGACGTATAAGGGCTGATGATGATGATGATGATTTTTTTCTGAGGGCTTTATTGAGCAGTTTTACGATAATTATAAAGGTTTGCGAGAAATTAATTAAAAAAGATTTTGCCGCGCTTTTTGCCGCCTCTATGATTGCGCAGCGCAATGAGATATTTAGGGATAGTGATTTTGCTTTAGGGCACCTCATAAAATGTCTCAAGAGTATGATTTTCTTCATACGCTTTGTATCTGAATGAGTACTGACGCACAACGCACAGCTTAACGTTACAGTTCCATCAAAAGTTTAGCATGCCTTATAGTTTTCTATTTATATCACCGTGCATTTACTCTGAGCGTAGCACTTAACCTTGATGTTCAATTGGCTCTGATCTATATAATTTTACGAGATTCCTCACTATGTTATGTGTTAGGATAATAAACACTAGAAACATGTTACTGCCGCGATGATATTACAATTATATATCTCGATAGGTCGTATTAATTTTATCCTGTATTGTTTTATTTAATCCTGTAGCCTGACAATGGAAGGATTGGATTGACTTATACGTTATTCCGAATATATTTTAT